CTGCTCATGTGACAATGTTCCTTGACATAGGCGAGTGTGAACCCCGTGATGATGTGAACTTGACGTGAATTGGGGAAGGAGGGTATGTTGAGTAGAAGCATCAACACAAAGCCTCATATATGATGTCTATGATGCTATCCTCTTAATTCGTAGTTGATCAGGATACCAAAACTAGTAAGGCTTAAATTGGGTAACCTTGATTCAAGTAATTCAAATGATTGGCAGTATCTTATGAAGCAAAGATACATGTATGAATACGGGTATGGGTGCGAGAATCCAAATATAAAAATAAAGTAAATAATTAAATCATAATAATTTTACAATCTCAAAATTTTGATGGTGAATTCTAAAGTGCAAATTAAATATTATTGGAGGGTCTTTTAATTAATTTTTAAACCTAAAATAAATTTATGGTGGAAATCTCTAATTCAGAGACAAGATTTACTATTAAAATAAATAATAATAACAATAATAATAATAATAATAATAATAATAATAATAATGTTAGATGATAATACTAAGTGTATTGGTGGTTATGTATATAAGGATAACAAAAACCCTAACTCTTGTTATTATTGTTTTTCACAACACTAGTAGCCCTAGCAGCCGTGGATTATGAAGGAAAGTGAGGGGTGTTTCAATCATCAAGATTATTGTTGTAACAAAGAAGGAGAGCTTTGTGTGTGTTGTGTCTTGTGGCCTCTTAGGTTTTCTTCTCTTCTTTCTTTGTTCTTTATCCTTATTCTATTGTTATTTAATTCATTGAGGGAGAGATTGTAGGTGTATGTAATTTGTGTCTATATGTATATATATATATTGTTAAGAAATCTATGGAGTTAAATTCATGTATAAAGAATGGGTGTAATTCTTAGTCCAAAAATTCTGCACAGAATCACAAATTTTAAAAATCAAGAAACCATATCAAAAGAATGAATTTTGAACTAAAATTTTTACAGTAGATTAATTACATATTGAATTGCATATCAGAATTTTTCCATAATTTTTGGGATTCAAAATCTATATTAACTGATGCGTTCAAATCTGTCCAGAAACTGGGGTAAAACAGTAACTTCAAAAGTGTCATTTTCTTTGGGCATAAATCCGAAAATTATCAAATCAGTGTTATTAGAACCGGTTACGAGTCTAATTTCTTACATTTTGGCCTTGCATTGATTGCTCTTGTATACTAAGAGAACCATTAATTTCTTTAAAGTGCTGCAGAAAACAATCTGTTTAGATATAATTAATTGTGAATAATTATTTTGATAAGCAAACCAAGTAAAACCAATTGGGTTTGAAACTTAGGATATATTAGTTGATATCTGGAGGGTTTTGGAATTTTTCTAATAGCGTGAAGTGGGTTTTTAATTTTCAAAGCTAGCAAATAGATTGGGAAAACTTGTTTAAAATTTTGTTTTAATTAAGTTTCGATCTAAACCCATGTCTTGCGTAATTTTAGACCTTGAAGAATATAAACTTAGGTATTATTTAAGAGTAACAGTGAGTTGGATTGAGCCGTGTTAGTGCACTTTAGTTTGGGGTTACTTAATTTATTATTCCTTTTAGTATGTTGAATTAGTAGTGACGTGTAGTTTTAATACTTTATTCAGGGCACTAGTTGGACTTTATACTCTATTCGAGGATAACATTATTTCATTTTCAGGTGAGTAGTTACATGCTACATATTTTTATAAATGTTCCCCTACCCTGAACTGATGGAAAATTTAATTGTTGTTTCAGGACTAAACTGTTTTAATAAATTATTATATTATCAATGGAATTAAATTATTTCTGAAACATATGTAAACTTGACATACCGTATACTATTTGTTATGGTCTCATGTTTATAATGGTGAACTACCATGTTTTGCGAAACTGATATGTATTGATTATTAGGACCATCTGTGTATTTTAGTCCAGGGAAATTATTCCACTGTGTGTGGTGACTTTGGTCACTAGGGAAAAGATCCGAGGTTGGGCCGTGATGACTCTAGTACTCAACGATTGTAAGGAAAAGACCTAGGTTGGGCTAGGTGACCTTCAATCGGATCGTCTTAGAGAAAAGGCCCGGGTTGCCACCCCGAGGATGACTTTTGGTTCGATACTGGATCCAACGGGCTTATTGCCTTGAGAACTGTGTGGCATGTTACTTGTTATTCTTGGTACCCAGAAAATTATTGGTGTTCATGCTATAGTCTGTTTTAAGTGGAAAATGTCATTTATCATGTGCTTGAGAGACATGAGTATTTTAACTGTTGAACTGTGGAGCTTTTTTTTTTAAACAGATTGTCTTTATCAAACTGTATGCCAATCTAGTTTCTGTGATATATATCTTATTTTGGAATTGAACCCTGTTTTCAAAACTATATATACTGTCCATGTTTCTACTCACTGAGCTATCAGTTGACTTAGTTGTTTATCATTTCCAGGTGTCAGAAGGACTTAAAGTGGACTCATGGCGTGGTGGTGACTCAATTGAATGGACCTCTAGGACATTCATTTATATTGTTTTAGATTGTCATGTCAAGTTTGTGTATACTTCTTTTATTTTTATTTTTATTGAGGTTCATTTAGGATTATTTTGATATGTGGGCTGTTTATATCCCATAAGTTTGGATGGTATTGATTATGGTTGGTTTGCCGTTTATACTTGTGGAATGTCACTGGATTGAGTTTTGGTTATTTATTACTAAACTATAGTATAGTTTATTCACTGTGTTTATGGATTCGTGTTTAGGCTTACATGTGCCTTGGGCTAAGGGCCTGTGGGCCACAGCCAATCATACCCGGGTTTGGGGTGTGACAATGGGTATCCCAATTTTTTTTTCTTTTTATAAAAAATAGGATACGGGTCCAAACTTCTTTTCTTTGCTTTGCTTTTCTTTATTTTATTTTATTTTTTAAATTAGAGGAAAGATGAAAAGAAGTGAACCCCAAGTTCGAGTACAAATCAAAAAGACATATTTAATAGTTTTTTTATTGATCAAAGTTTGTAGAAATTTGAGATCTGAATCAGTGATCGACATGAGACTAACAAAAGTTTCTACCCTATATAATATTATCTTAAAGTTATTGTCATATGAGTTATCAGCTCATATGACAATATTGCTTAAGAAATACAAGGAATTGGTGATAATTCGAGCTTGGGGCCCAAATGTAGTGATTGCTAGATTGAACATAAGCGGTACAGAATCAATCTAATGTATGAAATTGTTCTATGTTTCTAACTCTAACTAAATTTGGCATGGACCAATAGTACCTGCAAGCCACGGCTCTAATAAAGGCCTCGTTTGGGAAGTTGGCTATTTTAGTAGGCTATCTTAGTTTTTGGCTACTTTAGTAGGCTAAAATTTTTTTATTTGGGAAAATGGTTGGATTTTTTTTATAGTTGAATGTGATGTTTGTGAGAGAAAAAAGTGAAATGATTATGGATTTGATGTGACATTTTGTTTTATTGACTGTTTTAGCCTATTTTGTCTTTTTTTGGATTTTAGCCAAAAAAAGCTACAAATCCACTTGCCAAACAAGGCCAAAGTTTCTTGCATTATGATCTGTATATTGCTGTAATGTGTACCATGTCACCTGGAGTTGCCTCATCTGTGCTGGTTATAAGGTTCTAGATTCCCTCTCCTTAATACTTGGGTTTTAAAGAGAAATGTGAGTTAGGCTTTTCAATTTGGTATCAAAGCTTGGTTGAGCTTGTGACTGGTGCGCCGTTTGTCCGGCTACTGTATCTTGTGGTCCAAGAGGGTGTGTTAGAATGTGTCCTATCTGTGCTGGTTATAAGGTTCCAGATTCCATCTCCTTAATACCTAAGTTTTAAAGAGAAATGTGAGCTAAGGTTTTCAATTTGGTATCAGAGCTTGGTTCGGCCTGTGACTAGTGTGCCGTTTGTCCATCTACTATATCATGTGGTCCAGGATTGTGTGTTGGAATGTGTCCCACATCGCCTGGAGTTTCTCCATCTGTGTTGGTTATAAGGCTCCAGATTCCCTCTCCTTAATACCTGAGTTTTAAGGAGAAATGTGAGCTGGGCTTTTCAATTTATATATCCCAAAAATCAAACATTTTGATAATAATTTATATTGCATAAATGAATGCTTGAGTGAAATTTCACATCCTCAATGCATATATGAGAACCGTGAGCTCATATAAACTAAAACAACATAAGATTCACCTTGAAAACATTTCAGAGGAAAGAGAAATATGCAATTACAATGCCGGGACCATAATTTTCTAGTTAGGAAAATAGTCTCTCCAAAAATGGCCGTAAGGCTGCATACTTCTTGCCTCCTCCGACCCTACTTTAGTGGGATCCTCGTGCATAGGGTGATGCAGGACAAAATTCTAGAGTTTTCTATATTTTTATTTCAATATTTTTTAATATTGTATTTAACAAGTATTCTTGTAATTTAGCTAGAATTAGTAGGTTTCTTAATTTGTCTTTTTTTTGTTTTCCTAATTTTAGGTTACTTATTCTCCAATATTAGACTAGTTATGTTGTTTCCGAATTTTAGATTATTTGGTCTCCAAGAATACTAGGGCTGTAAGATTTAGATTATTATAAATAGGTATGTAAACTTCATGGAAAAGACAACTTTTATTCAATAATATTCATAGTTTTTCTTCCTTGTAGATTCAAAGTTCTATTTTTCTCGTGGATTCGAGAGTTCCTTTTGTCTACTAGAACGATATCTTTTAGCTCCTGAGAAGTAATGTATTGAGACACCTGAGTTCACATTCTACTAGGACAGCATTATAACATGCATGACCATTGAGTTTGCCAAATTGATGTTTTGTTGGTCCAGTTCTTTTATAATTTAAGGTTGACTTTTTCATATAATTCAATCATTGAAATCCTCAGAAAAGACAGTTTTGCACATCAGGAATTTCTAGACATCAGAGTGGCAAGCACCTCCTCACATAATTCACCATTAGATAGCAAATTGTATGTACTCTGTGTGGTTAATAGAATTCAATTGAGAGAATGGACATGAAAATATCAATTCAATGATACTTTTGCCTTTAAAAGTGAGAGAATTCCATTAATGTCTAATTATAATTTTCTGATGACATTCTCTCTCTCCTCGGTGTCTGAAAGGAAAAGAAAGAAAATTTGTACATAGAAAAGGTAATTACTGCTTTACAAAATTGTGGTTAGTTAACATATCCTAGCATTTCTTCTATCATGATTCATGATCCACCCAATCGAGAAGTCAGATCAATGAATATGTCTTCTCTGCAGGGAATGGTGAGACCACCCATTGGATGTTCAAATCCAAATTCTTCCTCAGCTTGGCTTAACAAGTCTTGGAATGACGGCTGGTTCAAGTATGATATCGGAATTACAAATTGCTTCTTTTCGCTCTCTCCAACATAAACTGCAAGATGGCCTTTTGGAACACCTATGGCTGTTGAGGCTTCTTGGTTTGCTTTCAATGATGAAGACCGTTGGTGGACTTGTTTAGCATGAATGATACGAGGCATACGAATAGCCATTGTTTTGAATTGGGTATATATTTCTCAACAACAAGAAAAAGGAATGAAGGACTTGCAGAACAAGTGAAAGTTTTGCTAGTGAAGAATGTGAAGCTTGTGTTGGCTTTAGACTCTCTGATATGCTTATATATAGACCAAAGCTATGTGGGAAATCTTATTGTAATCTGGAATAAGTGGTGAAGAAACACTAGAATGGGGTCTACTGAGAGATACTAGCACACGAAGGATCACATGGATTTGCCTTCCTAGACTCATCACGTCATGAATTGAGAGCAATAGACCACACTGTATGTATGTTAGTTGGACAACATCATTCCCTACTACTTTGGTAACACTGAAATTGAATAGGTAATTTGAGGCATCACATGGTTTTTCCTCCCCAGTAAAATTATACAATTTTGATTGTTTTCATGTTGTAGCTTTTTGTTGCAATTTTTATGTGGTCAATCATTTAAAGGAACAACTAAACAGGTCCACCTGACATATGAATTATTAGTTCAACCATCTGCTATCAACACTAGCTAGCAGAACATATGAGCTATCAATTCATAAGAAAATGTCGCATAAAGAATAGAAGGAATTGGTAAAATTGTTTTATGCAGGTATCATCTAGACCCCAAATTGGTTCTGACAAATAAAAAGTTTCTAGTGTTATATTGTAATCTGGAATAAGTGGTGAAGAAACACTAGAATGGGGTCTACTGAGGGATACTAGCACACGAAGGATCACATGGATTTGCCTTCCTAGACTCATCACGTCCTGAATTGAGAGCAATAGACCACACTGTATGTATGTTAGTTAGACAACATCATTCCCTACCACTTTAGTAACACTGAAATTCAAGAGATAATTTGAGGCATCACATGGTTTTTCCTCCCCAGTAAAATTATACAATTTTGATTGTTTTCATGTTGTAGCTCTTTGTTGCACTTTTTATGTGGTCAATCATTTAAAGGAACAACTAAACAGGTCCACCAGACATATGAGTTATTAGCTCAACCATCTGCTATCAACACTAGCTAGCAGAAGAACATATGAGCTATCAATTCATATGAAAATGCGGTGTAAAGAATAGAAGGAATTGGTAAAATTGTTTTATGCAGGTATCATCTAAACCCCAAATTGGTTCTGACAAATAAAGTTTCTAGTGTTACAATCTTGATACTATTTCTCAGAGACTATCATGACCATCACATTCAAGCCTTATTTTTGGCAACTAAGACAAGGAATTCAATGTTAAGAATGAGAACTTAGGATTCAGAGGTCTTTCGGTTTGAAGATGATCTGTACAATATGAGTTGGGTCCGCATAACACAAGATATTTTACTTTTGAAGAAATAGGTGCCGCAGTAGTGAATTAGGGGAGTCATATAAATCTAAATAGATTGCATTCTCTAAGTGATGCCTTGAAAGGTACCTGATTTCATTGTTTTGCTTGGTCAGCATAAGAACATAACCGAATGAAAACTGCACAAGACCTCCACGGACTTGTCTCCCTACAGAACATAAGCAAAGTCTCTGAAATGTCCATTTCCACCCTCCTTGATGAAATCCCACAAGATGCAGAGGCTGCTCCAGCAAGTCGCATTTTTCATATATTTTGATCATCAAAATCGTCAAAAAGACACTTTAGTACTTTCTCACATCAGAAATTGCACACAAAATTGGCAAGCACCTTCACAACAGAATGGGCAACGCATATTCTCAGGTTTGCTGACAATCTAAATCAAAAAATTCCATAGTCTAATTTTCCTAAACTAATCAGCATCACTCTCTAATTCATGGCCAAATCCCTGTCTACTTCAAGAGCATTTTAACAAATTACTGTAATTCGATTTCTTTGCTTGCTAAAACATACCATTGACCATGGGATTGAATTCTATAACCAAGACTAACAATTCTAAAGGAAGGCAGTCTCTATAAGGTCTTTTTCACAACATTTATTTTTGCAACATTTTTGTGTTAAAAGAGCAGGCTTAGAGATAGAAAACAGATCCAATCAGACTGAAACCGGCGATAATTTCATTGAAGTGTCATGCAGCAGCAGCTGAAGAACTTGTTATGGATTTTGATGCTGTCATTATGGAAGCCTCCCTAGCTACTAGCTAGTAGCCTTCTAGGTAATATCAGCAATGAAAATAAATTGATATGCAAATTGAACTTAGGAGGGAAGAGGGTAAAATTATCATTTTGAGAAATCATGACGGTTATGATCGTGATTCACTAGAGCTAATCAACTACGCTACTCCATGAAGGATCTGTGGATGATTGATTGGTCCTAAAAGTAAAAGTTGTTGTAACAACCCGTTCTATGTCGGAAGTTTGTATGAACAATATTTTAAGTATATAAACAGGAGTGATGAATTCAAATGATTTCATCTTGGCATTTGTGTTAAAGAAACAAAAATGTATATGAAATGGGTAGCTTGTGCTTTACAAAATTGTATTTGCTAACATATCCTAGCACTTCTATCATAAGTCATGATTGACTCAATTGTGAAGTGAGATCAATGAAGATGTCTTCTCTGCAGGGAAGGGTGAGACTGCCCATTGGATGATCAAACCCAAATTCTTCCTCAGCTTCGCTTAACAAATCTTGGAATGAAGGGTTGTTCAAGTATGATATTGGAATTACAAATCGCTTCCGTTCACTCTCTCCAACATATACTGCAAAATGGCCCTTGGGAACATCTACTGCTGATGATGAAGTTGCTTGGTTTGCTTTCAATGATAAAGACCTTAGGAGGATTTGTTTAGCATGAATAATGCAAGGCATATGAATAGCCATTCTTTTCAATGGGTATAAAGGAATCGCAGAACAAGTGAAAGCTTTGGCAGTGAAGAATGTGAAGCTTGTGTTGGTTGTATAGGCTCATCTGTATGAGTATATATAGATCAAAAGTGGGTGGGAAATCTTATGAAATCTAGAATGAGTGGTGAAGGGACATTAGAATATTGGGGTCTACTAAGAGTCATTAGCACATGAAGGGATCACGGGGTTTTGCCAAACTACAAAGGCCCACCTGTTGAAACCTGTTATATTTGAGGACTGTCAGCTGATTTATGGCATGTAGCAACTGACAAGTTACATCAAAGACTAATTGTCACTGATGGCCTTCTAGCAGATTATCACAAATTCCTTACCTGTATTTCTTAAGAAACATCATCATGTGAGCCGATCATATGTTCCAGTGCTTTCTGGTCTAACAAATTGCATAAACAATCTTTTTTGTGGTTATTATGAATTCAAGAGATCTGATCCACATATTGTGTTGAACAAAGTAGACTTTGATGTAACTTGTCAATTGTCAGATGCCATAAACCAGCTGACAGCCATGAAATATAATAGGTTCTACAGGTGGGCCTTTGTAGTTTGGCAAAACCATGTGATCCCTTCATGTGCTAATGTCTCTCGGTATACCCTATTCTAATCTCCCTTCACCACTCATTCCAGATTTCATAAGATTTACCATGGACTTTTGATTTATATATATACTCATATCCATGAGCCTATACAACGAAGTCAAGCTTCACATTCTTCACTGACTAGCTTTCACTTGTTCTGCAAGATCTTCCTTCCTTTTTTTTTTGTTGTTGAGGAAGATATTCCCAATAGAAAAGCAATGGATATTCATATGCCTCGGATTGTTCATGCTAAGCATTTCCTCCGACGGTCTTTATCATTAAAAGCAAAACTAGAAGCTTCATCAGCAGCATTTGATGTCCCAAAAGGCTATCTAGCAGTTTACGTTGGAGAGAGTGAAAAGAAGCGATTTGTAATTCCGATATCATATTTGAACCAGCCTTCATTCCAAGACTTGTTAAGGCAAGCTGAGGAAGAATTTGGGTTTGATCATCAAATGGGTGGGCTCACCATTCCCTGCAGAGAAGACATCTTCATTGATCTCACTGCTCAACTGGGAGGATCGTGATTCAATATGGGGCACACTTGTTAGCATATACACAGTTTTGTAACAAGGCAGCAATCACCATTTCTATGTACAGATTCCGTCTTTTCCTTTTCTTTTTCACACAAACAATTCATCCATTGAGGAGGGTGAGAAATATGTCATCAGAACATTATAAATTAAAGGCAAAAGGCTTCATTGCATTGAAATTTCTGTTTGTATAGATTCTGTAGTGTCAAACTTGGTAAAGCTAATACATTCTATTGATTTGGAATATCATGTTGGTCATGGTTGTTTTTGCAAGAAAAGAACTGAATCAATAGTCATTTGCCTAACCAACAATAACTCATAGATATTTAATGAAATTCCTTTGATGGACACTCTCGCAATACACTTTTGAGGCAGTATCAGCAACAGAGTATAATAGGCTGTGTTATCTGTAGATGAGTTATGTAACAATTCCAGATATGTGTAGAAACTGTCTTTCTGAGGATTTCAGTGATTAAGGCAGTCAAAATAGATAACCAGTCACTATAGAGAACCATATAAACCTACCTATAAGGCTGCTTTTATAACATTAGTAGGTTAAAAGAATGATGAATTCAGATGATATCACTTTGGCCAGTCCTGTTGGGTGAGTTTTCGTGATTGTAACTTCTGGTATCAGAGTTGAAGTTTCCAAAGCGCTGGAATGCATAAATGAGAACCATTATTGGCTGCTGCAACACAACCCTTTGATTAAAGTAAAAATCACATCTATCTTAAATCTAAAGAAAGAAAAAACAAATTGAAGACAGACTTTACTGTTAAAGAAACAAAAATGTACATCAAATTGGTAGCTTCTGCTTTACAAAAATTTTGTTAACTAATATAAGTTAGCTGCTGTTTCATAGAACATTCAAGCAAATAGTGAGATCAATGAAGATTTCTTCTGTACATGGTGTAGTAAGACCACCCATTGGATGATCAAATCTATACTCTTTTTCAGCTTGCCTTAGCAAAGCTTCAAATGAAGGCAGGTTCAAGTATGAAACTGGAATCACTAATCTCTTATTTTCAGTCTCTCCAACATAAACTGCAAAAAATCCCTTTGAAACATCCAAAGCTGTCGAACAATTTGTTTAGCATGAACATTATGAGGCATTCAAAAATCCATTGTTCTAAATGATATGTATGCCTTTTTTTGTCTAATTTTAAGGGTATGTGGAAATCCTTTGAAATGTGGAAGACTTGTAGTTAGTCACAGACTGCAGAATGTATGTATGTCTTTTTTTGTCTAATTTTAAGGGTATGTTGGTTTTATAGGAAATCAAAAAACTAAGGATAATGAAAGAAGCTAATTTTTGAGATTGCAGAATGTTAAATTTTATTGAGCAACAAGCTGTTTATTTATACAGCATAATGAAAACTGAATTTGCAGAAAAATCTGCTACATGTTGATCATAACAACTAAAAGCCTAAAAATTAGTATGAGGAAATCTTCATAATCCTAAAGAATAGCAACAACTAAAACTGATTCAGTCAATCCTAAAGAATAGCAAATCAAACTGATAGTTTTACTCATTGAGAATTTTCAAATTGAACATGGGCTTTTCAAAGAAAATATGACAACATTGGCAGAAACCTAGCTGCATCACTTTCCCAACATACTTCACAAATAATTGCACATTATGTTATTTGATCAGGGGAGTGTTGGAATGCATCCCACATCGCCTGGAGTTGCCCCATCTGTGCTAGTTATAAGGCTCTAGTTTCCCTCTCCTTCATACCTGGGTTTTAAGGAGAAATGTGGATTGGGCTTTTCAACTTGGTATCAAAGCATGGTTGAGCCTGTGACTAGTGAGCTATTTGTCCAGCTAGTGTGTGTCCTGGTGGTGTGTTGGAATGTGTCCCACATCGGTGTGTTGGAATGTGTCCCACATCGGTGTGTTGGAATGTGTCCCACATCGGTGTGTTGGAATGTGTCCCACATCGGTGTGTTGGAATGTGTCCCACATCGTCTAGAGTTGCTCCATCTATGCTAGTTATAAGGCTCTAGTTTCCCTCTCTTTCATACCTGGATTTTAAGGAGAAATGTGGATTGGGCTTTTCAACTTGGTATCAAAGCATGGTTGAGCCTGTGACTAGTGAGCTATTTGTCCAGCTAGTGTGTGTCCTGGTCCAAGAGGGTGTGTTGGAATGTGTCCCACATCGTCTAGAGTTGCTCCATCTATGCTAGTTATAAGGCTCTAGTTTCCCTCTCCTTCATACCTGGGTTTTAAGGAGAAATGTGGATTGGGCTTTTCAACTTGGTATCAGAGCATGGTTGAGCCTGTGACTAGTGAGCTATTTGTCCAGCTAGTGTGTGTCCTGGTCCAAGAGGGTGTGTTGGAATGTGTCCCACATCGTCTAGAGTTGCTCCATCTATGCTAGTTATAAGGCTCTAGTTTCCCTCTTTTTAATACCTGGGTTTTAAGGAGAAGTGTGGGTTGGGCTAGGCTTTTCAACTGGTAGAAGAATGCACATTAAAGATTTGGCTTCAGTAACAAATATTGCTGCAATGTAATAATGTAATAATAGTGTTCTAAAAGATAAATTTCAGGGACTGGATGACAAGCTAGCAATTGGATGGAAACATTGCCTGATTAACAAAATTCAATTAAAAAGCGAAGTGAAGCTATTCAATTACCATGAAGATTGAACTACCAATTCACTTCTCAGCAAAAAAAAAACATATTGACATTGATTCACAAGAAACACTCCTACTATTCTAATTCAAAATGGTGTGAATCCAAAAACAAGAAAGTCTGAGTATAAATTAAAGGCAAAAGGCTTCATTGCATTGAAATTTCTGTTTGTATAGATTCTGTAGTGTCAAACTTGGTAAAGCTAATACATTCTATTGATTTGGAATATCATGTTGGTCATGGTTGTTTTTGCAAGAAAAGAACTGAATCAATAGTCATTTGCCTAACCAACAATAACTCATAGATATTTAATGAAATTCCTTTGATGGACACTCTCACAATACACTTTTGAGGCAGTATCAGCAACAGAGTATATATAGGCTGTGTTATCTGTTGATGAGTTATGTAACAATTCCAGATATGTGTAGAAACTGTCTTTCTGAGGATTTCAGTGATTAAGGCAGTCAAAATAGATAACCAGTCACTATAGAGAACCATATAAACCTACCTATAAGGCTACTTTTATAACATTAGTAGGTTAAAAGAGTGATGAATTCAGATGATATCACTTTGGCCAGTCCTGTTGGGTGAGTTTTCGTGATTGTAACTTCTGGTATCAGAGTTGAAGTTTCCAAGGCGCTGGAATGCATAAATGAGAACCATTATTGGCTGCTGCAAGACAACCCTTTGATTAAAGTAAAAATCACATCTATCTTAAATCTAAAGAAAGAAAAAACAAATTGAAGATAGACTTTACTGTTAAAGAAACAAAAATGTACATCAAATTGGTAGCTTCTGCTTTACAAAAATTTTATTAACTAATATAAGTTAGCTGCTGTTTCATAGAATATTCAAGCAAATAGTGAGATCAATGAAGATTTCTTCTGTACATGGTGTAGTGAGACCACCCATTGGATGATCAAATCTGTGCTCTTTTTCAGCTTGCCTTAGCAAAGCTTCAAATGAAGGCAGGTTCAAGTATGAAACTGGAATCACTAATCTCTTATTTTCAGTCTCTCCGACATAAACTGCAAAAAATCCCTTTGAAACATCCACAGCTGTCGAACAAGTTGTTTAGCATGAACATTATGAGGCATTCAAAAATCCATTGTTCTAAATGATATGTATGTCTTTTTTTTGTCTAATTTAAAGGGTATGTGGAAATCCTTTGAAATGTGGAAGACTTGTAGTTAGTCACAGACTAGACTTGTAGGTCTGATTTAAAGGGTATGTGGAAATCCTTTAAAATGTGGAATGACTGGTAAAGAAGCATTTGGATGGGGCATAGTTGGGGACATTAGCAC